GGTTACCAAACGGTGCCTATATTTTGAATCTTAATTGCTATCGAACAAGTCCTCTGTATGTACTTAGATTGTCAGCTTTGATTTTTCTCAACTAATAGAGTTAATTAAATTATCGGTCTTAAAAATGAAAAAAAAAAACCTAAAGTACGTCCATTAATTAATCTTGAGTTGCAACAAATTAAACTGTTGCGTGCGTCTAAAGTTATTCAGTCAACGATGATATGCAATATTAATTACTTTTGTGACACTGGAGATTTGCTTTTTTTTTTAAAAAAAAAATTATTTATAAGTACGTTATACTTGAGTATTTTTCTCTGCAAAAATAATTCAAAAATACAAGATAAATATGCAATAAAGTAAATCTACCTTTGGTGTCGTTTAACCAATTTCTTAACCATTCATGGCTTTTAAGAAACTCATGAAAATACTTTTTTCTGTGAAATCGGATCCCATTAATTTATTAGTATATTTAATTTTTCTTTGGAAATAATATTTTTTTTTAAAAAAAAAAAAACTTGTAAGATAAATAGAAAATAGTTGACCACGGTTCGTCTCCATCATAAAGAAGGAAGTATTTGTCGAAAAGAAAAAGCTTAACTTTGAGAAAAGGTTTACAGTAAATGAAAAAAGATACAGAAAACTCATATATAATAAAATCACTATCGTTGAAAGGTCTGTAACACTATTAAGATACGTATTTCATCTGTGATTACTAAAACAGATAAAATCGTCATGTTTAGGAAGAGCTCAAATCCTCGTTTCTAGGACATTGATGCATAATACTACTTGAGACCTTAAAGGAAACGTCTCAAATAAAGATAATACAAGTTGTTGGTTTTTAGACTTGATTTGTTTAACTACCTATTAGTTTAAGTCTTTTTGTATCTCAAAGTTTAGTGATCCCATTGATTTATGACCAATTGACCATTGATATCATGATGGAAGCATTAGTAGGTTATGTACGTTTAAAATATGAACATTGATCCTCTCTAGAAAATTTGAAGTTTATTAACCAAATATGGAAATGATTAGGTAATTCCGTCTTAATTTTCTTCTGGCGTAAGTTCCGTATTTCTAGAATACCTATTTTAAATAAACGGTACATTTTCGATCCGTATGAATTTAAAATTAATACTAGATGAATGTTATTTTCAGTAATTCGTAAATATGTTTGAATTACCAACCAACCTTAGGAATTTCATAGGCATACGATTGAGCATTTGAAGTATCCTTTAGAATTTCGAAAAGCCCATCGAAGCTTGTAGAACAAGTTTGGACAAAAAAATAAAATCCCTGGAGCCAGAGCCATGCATGCAATGCAATATGGTTAAATCTCTGTACTTGCCAAACAACTCACACCATAGGTGGGTGGGTTGGAGTTTTTGTCATTATTTTAATCATGTGAAGCCACCATCATGTGAGACAATTTT